GGGCGTCGGCGTGAGCGTGGGCCGGCACGTGTGCGAGCTGAGCCTGTGCCACGACGAAAAGCGGCGCTGGCGGACGGACAGGCGTGGGGGCGGGGCAGGCGCGCCAACGCCGCCGTGGAGGGCGGGGGAAACGTACCAGGTGGCGCTCGCGGCCAAGGGCGTCACCGGCAGCGCCTACGTTGACGGCGTGCGTGCGGGGCCGCTGGAGTGCGCCCTCGTGCCGGCGGAGGCGGCGGTGGCGGACGAAGAAGTGCCGCTCCCGCCGCAGGACGAGTTGTTGTACGTCGTCTTTTTTTGGAGGCGGCGCGAGCCACGTGACGCTGACGAACGCCTTTCTGTACAACCGGCTGTTGCAGGCCGCGGAGCTGAAGGCGCTCGTGAGGGAGAAGCCCAGCGCCCCGGCGACGGCGGAGGAGGCGTCGACGTCGGCCGCTGCGCAGGGAGGGCCCGGAAACGCATCCGCCGCCGGCCCGGGAGGCAAAGGCAAGCGCGACGGTTCCGTGCGTGGGCGTCTGTCCGCGTTGTCGCCGCTGCCGCTTCTGCTGGGGCTGTGGGTGTGTGTCTCTCTTCACTGAGCCGGAGAACAAAGCAGCGAGGGAGGAGGCGGTGCGACCTGCGCTGGAACGCGTGCAGAGTTTGTTTTACGCTTGTTAATCGTCTTCTTCAGTGGAGCCCCTTTTTTTCTTTTTATGTTAAATAATTCTTGCTTTCTTTTCTTGCTTACGCTCGCGCTCTGGAGGGGGGCGAGAGCTCCCCGCGTGGCTGTTGGCGTCTCTGCCCAATGCACGCAGGCGGTGGCGCCGCGCCGCAGCGATGGGGCGCGCGGGGGGTGACGCGTGGCCCGCGAAGGGCACCACGCACACCGAAGGGGCTGTGAGGTATAAATGACCGGTGCGACCGTGAGGAGGAGTGCAACGAAGTGAGATGTTCACCGTCTTTGCTTTTGTCGCGTGCAGAAAATCCACGCGCAGTTTTTGCGAAGCCACGCGACAGCTCGCTGCCGCTTCACTTTCTTTTCCTTGGGGAGGAGACACTGTGGAGGAAAGTAATTCTTCTTTTGGGGTTTGTGGGGGATTGATACATGACGCAGGACGATTTTTTTTTCTTTTTTTTCTTCTTTGCTTTTCATTACATTTCTCGTGGCTGGCCTCCGCTTGGACTGCGGTGCCGGCTCCAGCCTCAGCTGTTGCTTCATTTCCTTCCTGCGCCTCTGCTGTGCGTGTGTGTTTGTCTGTGCGCCCCCACGCGCTTCACTCTTCTCCCTCTTTGCGTTGCGTGCATGCAGGCACACACACACACACACACACACACACACACACAACCGACGCGCACGCGATGCGCCTGTAGTGCCGTGCAGGTGGATGGCGTTTCCGCAGCCTGTGCTGGCAGTGCCGTGTGCGGCTGCTGCTGCGGTTTCCTCCCGGGCCGCGAAGAGAAGGAAAGGAAAACGCACAGCACGAGGGAGAGTGCGCTGTGACTAACTCGTTTTCCTTGCGGGAGCCGCCTCATTTGGGTGGTGGCTGCGTGAAGTTGCTCGTCTGCCGCCTTTTTCTTTTTTGCAACCTGCTCTCTTCACTGTCTCCGCTGCACTCCTTCTCCATCCCGATACTTCTCTTGTTTCCTGCGTCCTTTGCCCCGCTGACTTCAGCGACGCTGTCACTCTACGATCACCACTACTTTTGCCGATGACGACGCTGACGCTGCGGCGCCGTGCGGTGTGCGGCCTGGCGCTCCTCGCGCTGCTCTGCGGCTGCTGCGCCCCCTCCGTCTGCGGTGCGAATGCTGAAGGAACTGCTGGATCGCCTGAGAACCCTCCTCCTGATGTTGGGCGAAAAATATTTTTGCCGGTGGACGTGGCGTGTGAGTTGTCCGAGGAGAAGTTGCGTTGGCGGTTTCCTGGAGAAACGGGCTGGAACAACTGTGCGACCGACGCAAGCGAACTGAAAGATGAAGTTGCACGGCTGTGCGACAGCGCTGCATGGCTGTACGGTTGTTGGAGGTGCGCCCAGGCGTGTGCTGCTGCCGGCAGTGACGCTGTCGCGTTCACGATGAAAGTTGCGATGTACGGGAAAAGCCAACCTTACAGGAAGTCGCTGGCGGCAAAAAGTGCTGCCGCTGGCGTCTCCTTTTCCGACGCGGCAGGCGTTTGCGCGTTGGTGGGCGTGAATAACACGGACGATGGGTGCACCGGTGAAAAACTCGTTGCGGCCAAACCACCGGCACCTGCGGCGGTCAGGCTAACGGGAGGAACTGAGGCACAGCAGCAAGGACGGACAATTGAAGCCAAAAGTGAGACGCAGCTGCAGGAGGAAGGCCGACGCGACGCAGGAGAAGCTGCAGCAGGTGCTGGGCGCGGCAACACCGCGGGCACCACAGTGCAGAAGCCTGCAGCCCTTGCGCCTCAGCCCACGGCCAAGCCGCCTGCAGAGTCTGCGGCCCCGGTGGGTGGTGTCGGTGGGCAGCCCGCGCACACCGTTGAGGGCACAAAGCAGGTGGATGAAGGTGTGCCCGCCACCGAAGTGCCGCCCAAGCCGAATGCACAGCCAGAGACGGGAGGTGGCTTGGCTCAAGGCGGCGATGACGGTGCCACGGGGCACCCGAAAGCAGCAGAAGACAGTGAAGAAGCGGGAGGCGTTGCAGAACTTCAAGCGGCGACTGAACCCAACAGTGACTCGACAAACCCCGCGCAGCCCACTGCCGGCGCCGAGACCATCGCCGGGCCCCAGCCGCCCGAGAGCGAAGGGCAGACGCAAGGGGCGGCGGCGCAGAGCAGTGGCCAACCCGAAATTGGCTCTGCGGTCACCAGCGGTCCTGCCGCTCCCGCTGGAAGTCGGGCGGGGACAACTCCACCAGTTCCCTCCGCAGGTGGCGGTGGGACTGCCGGCGGTCAGACTGGAGAGCCGAATGAGGCGAATGCCGAAGACACCGCAGAGCCCAATGCTGCTCGCGCACCTGCAAAGAGCGAGGCTAAAGCACCAGCAGCGGGGCCCACCGCCACCAGCACAGATAACGCCGCGACGACGACTGACGGTGACAGCAGCCCCGCGGCGCAGCCGCAGCCGGCAAGTTCCGTGGGGACAAACGAAGCTGGTGATGCAGAACAAAAGGAGCAGCCCGCAGTGCCCACGTCCCAAAGTCAAACGGAAACGAGTGGCGGCGGCGGAGGACAAGCCACTCAGCCGGCAGCGGGGGCGGCTGCTCAAGCGGCGTCCACCACCAACTCGACGAGTGCAGCGAAGGCGGTGCCTGGCGACAGCGACGGCAGCAGCAGCGCCGCGGCCGCACACTCCGCCTCCCCCCTCGTGCTGCTGCTGCTTCTGCTTGCGTGTGCGGCTGCCGCTGTGATGCTGGCCGCGTGAGGGACTGAGTGCGGGGGAGGGTCGTGCACATAGCTTGTCCTTCTTCCTCTATTTCTGTGCGTGTCTCCCTGCACGGGCTCTCTCGCCCTCGCCGCACCCAACGAGGCAGACACACATAGTGTGCTCATATATATACACACCTCCACTCATGCAGGCCCGTCCTTCCTCCTCTTCCTGCTTTGCACCTGACGAGCCGCTGCCGTCCTGCTTGGCTGCATGGGTACAGCACCGTTACTGTTTTTCTCCTTTTTATTTGTTTGTTTGTTTTCATTGCTTTCAGTGGGCGATCTCTTGCTTCCTCTTTCTCTCTCTTCCTGGACTGGGCTGTGCGGGAACAGAGAGTGTGTGCTGGTCGTCCCACGTGTTGCTGCGCGTCCCCACGCTTCTGCTCCACTTCACGGGGTTTGTTTATTTGTTTTGTTTTGTTTGTGGGAATGTGCGAACGGAATGGCCGCTTCGTGCATTGCGTAGTTCGGAATGCGCTGAATGCGCGGTCGATCATGTTTTCCCTGATTTGTTGTTTGTGCGTGCACACGGGAGTCGTCAAGGGCAGGGCGGGAAGAGTTGATGTTCTTGTGTTAGAGGCAAGTTTTTGCGTGGCGCGGCGTAGCTGCTGGCGGCGCCGCTGCCGTTCACCGCCGCCCAATTGCAGTGGGGGAAAACGGGTCTTTTCGCCTCCCGCTGCTTCATTGGGCCTGGCGTGCGTGGCGGATGCTCCGGGGGCGAGACAAGTTGTGCGAGGTTTCTCTTCTTCCCTTCTTTTTTTCACGGCTGGGGGAGAGGGGAGGCGCCGACGGTTCCTTCCGCCCCTCTTTTCTGCTGGCTGCGTGCCCGAGTGGCTTCCGCGCCTCGTGCGTTGGCAAATGATTCTGCGGGAGGGTCCTGCCTGCTTTGCGGG